GTTCTTGCAAAAACACAGACAGACAGACGGACACACACAAATACACAGACCCACAATCTCTCTCAAATAGGTATGGTAATTACAGGAGTTTTAAGTAATATTTCTGGGGTAGTCTCTCTCTCTCTCACTCACTCACACACACACACACACACACCACACACACACACACACACACACTTTGGAGGACTTTTTAGCTTTTGTTGACAGAACAAGCCAAAACCCTCCCTCCTACTCTGTGGTCTCTCGCTAGAATGTAGCTCTCCTGGATTCTGAGGGAAACACATCACCGCAAAAGAGGGAGCCATCTTTCTCCTCCACTTACACATCAAACATTTAAAGATTCCACAAACATCCTCCTAGCATCTCGTTCCATTCTCATTTCATTACCCTGCGGGTGCCTTTCCCCTTACCTGCTTTGTTTACAGATGGCAACTGAGCAGGTCTCAGAAATAGCCCCAATTTGTACTCCTCGGATGTGCCCCTGGAGATTGGGTCTCCACTGACTTTCTCAGACTTTTCTAGAATGTGCCAGCCCCTGGCTCGGTACAGACGCCATCCTCAGCTACAGACATGCTGGGGGATTAGGGAGCCTTGATCCTGTGTCTCTGTTTTCTTGATGACCCGTGAACAATTGTTTGTGTTACCTGAAAATCACAACAGGTCAGACTGAGAGACAGCTGCTGGAATTTTCACAGAGCACCTGGCAAGCTAAAGTCCACCCATGGCAGGTGTCCATGTGCATTTGAGAATCCCATCAGGTGCCCAGACTCCTTTCATTTCTGACCCTTAGTGCCTCTTGAAAGTTAGGGAACTGCATCAAAATTTAACCCTGAGGAAGAGAAGAGTGAGGGGAGATTAGAGAGCAGCCTGCAACTTCCTGAAGAGGGTTCCAGAGAGGCTGTGGCAACTGAGCAGGTCTCAGAAATAGCCCCAATTTGTACTCCTCGGATGTGCCCCTGGAGATTGGGTCTCCACTGACTTTCTCAGACTTTTCTAGAATGTGCCAACCCCTGGCTCGGTACAGACGCCATCCTCAGCTACAGACATGCAGGGGAATTAGGGAGCCTTGATCCTGTGTCTCTGTTCTCTTGCAGAATGACCCGTGAACAATTGTTTGTGTTACCTGAAAATCACAACAGGTCAGACTGAGAGACAGCTGCTGGAATTTTCACAGAGCACCTGGCAAGCTAAAGTCCACCCATGGCAGGTGTCCATGTGCATTTGAGAATCCCATCAGGTGCCCAGACTCCTTTCATTTCTGACCCTTAGTGCCTCTTGAAAGTTAGGAAACTGCATCAAAATTTAACCCTGAGGAAGAGAAGAGTGAGGGGGGATTTGAGAACAGCCTTCAACTTCCTGAAGAGGGTTGCAGAGACAATGGAGAGAGGCTGTTCTCAGTGGTGGCAGATGGCACATTGCAGTGGGGCAGGTCTAGTTGAGATATAAGGAAAAAAAATTTCCTTAGGAGGGTGGTGAAGCACTGGGATGGGTTCCCTAGGGAGGGGGTGGAATCTCCATCCCTAAAGGTGTATAAGTCCCGGCTTAACCAAGCTCTGGCTGGGATGATGGAGTTGGGGTTGGTCCTGCTTTGGGCGGGGGGCTGGACTTAATGGCCTCCTCAGGTCTCTGCCAGGCCTGGGACTCTGTGATTAATCAGTGCAATAAGCGGTGTAAGATACAGAAGCACAAAGTACCAGATGTTTAATGTCATTCAGATGTCTAAAGATACACAGTCGTCATGATAAAGGACTGTTCCTGAGAGACCCTGCTGGTGTGCTCTAGAGTTCCCCAGTGTGTTTTAATGTACGGTTTGAACCTCTTTAATCCAGTGCCGAACCAGAGAATTTGACAGACCATGGGAGGTCAACATAGTCTAGCAGCATTACAAAGCATGCCACAGCTTGCTCGGCGTTTAGAATACTTTGAGAGGCGAATTAGAGGAAATAACCACACAGAGCACTGAGAGACAGGACAGAACGGGGAGGGGGGGGCTAAACAAACTTTACGGGACTGTGGGAAACTTGTCCACACCCATGAAAAGTGGACATCTGAATAACTAAAATCTTGGTGGACCACAGATGTTTCCAGACCAGAAAGTGCCGGATTAGAGAGGTTCAACCTGTCGCACATTTAGAACCCCAGGGGAATCGATGCAGATTTGACATGAAAGGTGAGTTTGAACATCCAGAGAAATTGGTACGACTTGCTCCCTTACTACCATTGTGGAACTCAGCCCTAGTGCTTAGCTAACCGGTGCTACCACGTCGTCACTGTGCTTGTGAAATCCGGAGCTGACTAGAGCATTTGCCATCCCCATGGGGAGAAGATAATCGAGGAATATCAGGCCTCATCATTGGACATACAATGGAAATGTGCTTGATTGAGGACTAAATAGCATTTAAGTGAGGGACAAAATCATTGCTGAAATTACTTAGCTGGTCTTCCTTCCCTTTCCAGAGAGGTAGGTTGGGACCTTCCAGAAGACAAAGGCTTGGCCAAGGGGTCTGATCAGAGATGGGCAGGTGTAGACCCAGTGGGAATGCAGCTTGGGCAGCATCGAGTGGAACAGGCTGATGTCCCTGACTGTGGCTTAGGACACAAATAATCATCAGCTTGAAACTCTGCTTCATCCTGCACTCATTAAACCGTCCTTGTTAGCGACCCGGCTACCAACAGGAGAGCGACAAAGGCTTGGCCAAGGGGTCTGATCAGAGATGGGCAGGTGTAGACCCAGTGGGAATGCAGCTTGGGCAGCATCGAGTGGAACAGGCTGATGTCCCTGACTGTGGCTTAGGACACAAATAATCATCAGCTTGAAACTCTGCTTCATCCTGCACTCATTAAACCGTCCTTGTTAGCGACCCGGCTACCAACAGGAGAGCCCCCCCACTAGCCAACACCAGCCTCTCGGTGGGATTTATGGGGAGACTCCTGGCTCATTAGATCTCCTCCTTTCTTAGTCAGAGCTCGGAGCGGCGTCGCGCCGGCCGGGGAGCCGACAAACCTCACCAGCAATTAAGGGCCAGTGGCAGAATTGAAGTTACCAGTTGTTTAAGCGGGTCCTGCGGGAGCATTTCTGGAAGGTGGGAGGGGCAGGCACAGCAGGGCTGGTGAGAGAGGAGAGTCAGAGGCGCTGAGGGTAGTTAGGCCGGGGATGGGGCCGGTTGGTTTCGGTGGCCAGTCACCCCGGCTGTGGGCAGTGACGGGGTCAGTCCTGTGAAGCCCTTTGGGAAGGCGATTCCTTCACTCCCCCATGGCCCGGCCTAGCGAGGGGGGTGCAACGGGTGGTGGATTGTGGGAAACTGTGTTGTAAACACACCGGAGAGTCCCCCTGGGTCCGACAGGCAGCCCGGCTCATCCACAGGGATAGAGGTAGCGTCCGGTGTGCAGGCCTCAGTGCCAGATTAGCCAACATTCATGGGTTGTGACAGACTTTGCTAAACATGAGTCAGCAGTGTGACACTGTTGCAAAAATAACAAACATGATTCTGGGAGGTGTTAACAGGGGTGTTGTGAACACGACACGAGGAGTCATTGTTCTGCTTTACCCTGCACTGATTAGGCCTCAGTTGGAGTATTGTGTCCAGTTCTGGGCACCAGATTTCATGAAAGATGGAGAAAAATTGGAGAGAGTTCAGAGAAGAGCAACAAGAACGATGACAGGTCTGGAGATATCCCTGCAGGATTGAAGTGGTGACTTCTGGGCAGCAGTTAAACCCATGGTGTGGAATAGTTTTGGCCTGCAACCTGGTTTTCTTTTGGGACACCAGACAAACCAAAAGGCTCCAGTGTAGTTTACCTGTTGGCCAGTTTGCTTTTAGGACACCAGGTAAATCAACAGACTTCAATGGGATTGATCCGCTGACCCACTTGCTTCCAGACACCAGGAAAACCCAGAGCATGCAAAGGAGACTATGTGAGCTTCCTTTCAGGACACCAGGGAAACCCCATAGAGGTTAAGGGGTTGAGATGATGGCCAGCTTGCTTTAAGGGGTTGACCTGGCATCCACCTTAATTTCAGGCCCTCTGAAAAAACCAATAGTTTTGAATGGGGTTGACCTGGTTTCCATTTTTCTTTCAGGTCACCAACTCAGTCTCTGCCTTGCACCTTGAATCCTAGAGACAGACTCAAGTTTCCAAAGGGTTGACCTGGTGAGCCGCTTGCTTACAGGACACCAGTAAACCCATTGATTCCAAAGGGGTTGACCTGATGGCCAGTTTTATTTCAGCACAGCAGGTAAACCCATAAGCTACATCTACACTATGAGTTTTCTCAACAAAAAATACGCTAATGAAGGACTCATTTGCATGAGTTGTGATCTCATTAGCATATTTTCTTCTGATCTGTTTTTGCCTTGAACCATTTCTCCAGATGAGTTTGAATTATAACCCTATCCTCCAAAGCACTTGCAACCCCTCACATCTTGGTATCATCTGCAAACACAATAAGCGTCCTCTCTGTGCCAATATGTAACTTATTGATGAACAGAACCAGTCCCAAAACAGAAACCTGTGGAACCTGACTCGTTATGCCTTGCAGCAGGATTTGTGAACTGTTAATATAAACCATGGTACACCCACATCTTGCATACTTTGTACAGAGGTGGTCCCCTCATTTTAAATAAAATATATTCTCTTTGGAAAAATTCAGAGAAGGGCAACAAACATGATTAGGGATTTTGAACAGATTCCATATGAAGAGAAAATAAAAATATTTAGACAGTTCAGCGTAGAAAAGAGGAGGATAAGGGGGGATATGGTAGAGTTCTATAACATCATGACTACTTTGGAAAAGGTGAATAAGGAAAAGTTCCCATAACATAAGAACTAGGAGTTGCAGGCTTAAAACAAAGGTGTTCAAAAGTTTAACGAACAGAGGAGAAACATCAAAGATGCTTCTGTTGGTGTCACCATTTTGTCTTGGCCTTTCCCTGTCCAATGCAAACAGGAGAATAAGTTGATAATCAAGATAGTAATATGAAAGTCATTCAAATCTAACTTCATGTACCACTGAATGCCTTCCAAAAAGCCTTCTTCACTTCTTTATTTCTCAGAGTGTAGATGAAAGGGTTTAACAATGGAGTTATGATAATGCTCAAAGTGTTGACAATCTTGTTGATCTCCATAGAGTTCTCTGTGGAATACCTGACATAAAGGAAGATATTGGAGCCGTACCACATAATCACAACAATAAGATGAGCAGAGCATGTGGAAAAGGCCTTTTGCCGGCCTTGGGCTGACGGGATCCTCACGATGGTGGAGATGATGCAAATGTAGGAGACCACAGTTATCAAAAATGATCCCAGGATGACGATGATTGCTATGGTCAAAGCTGCCAACTGAAATGCAGAGGTGTCTGAGCAGGAGAGAATGACCAAGGAATCGGTGCTGCAGTAGAAATGGTTGATGACATTAGAGCCGCAGAAAGACATATTAGATATTAGTGAAATTGGCAAAGAAAGAATCAGAAAACCAGAGACCCAGGAGCCCAGGGCCAGCTGCGCGGACCTGGTGGTGCTCATAATGGTGCTATAGCGCAATGGGTAGCAAATGGCCAGATAGCGGTCATAGGCCATGGCAGTCAAGAGGAAAAATTCTGTGCAGCCCAGGGCGAAAATGAAATACATCTGCAGGATGCAGCTAACAAAGGGAATGGTTCTGCTTTTCCCCAGGAAAATGGTAATTGCTTTAGGGACACAGGCTGTGGTGTACCAGATCTCCAGGAAGGAGAGGTTGGAAAGGAAAAAGTACATGGGCATTTGGAGGTGAGGATAGACCATGACCAGAGCTATTATGGCAACGTTTCCCGCGATTGTCAGGATGTACGTTGTGGTAAACACCACAGAAAGAGAGATCTGCAAATATTGATTGCCGGGGAATCCCAGGAGGATAAACTCCTGTCCATTGGAGTGGTTTCCCTTCTCTACTCCATACGCGAGCTCCATCTGCCAAGAGAAAAGAGATGTAATTGAGGGGCAGTTTTGTTCTATGGGTTGTTGGACAGGACCTTTGCAAAGGTGTGGAAACGATTTAGAGTTTTAAGTCCCAAAACAAAAACAGCTTAGTTGGTCTGGACTGTGAAGGTGAGGAGTTTCTAAAGTGTTTTTGTAGTGCCGTTTGTGGTTTACAAAAATGCTTTAGCGGTTGAGACTATTGAAAGTCCGAGCAATTGTCCCTCTGAACCTGTTTCCCATGAAAATCTGGCACTGAAACGTCAAAGCTCTTTTGCATATTGGTCTTCCCAACTCACCAACGGCCAGATTTTCAAGGTACTGAGGCATGGGGAGCCAATGTCGTTATCTCATCTTGACTTAGCAAAGGGCAGCGAACTTCTCCAAACAATGTGTAAAGGAGGAAAGGTTTTTTTTAAACATTATCTCATTTACAAAATACTCACCGATGGAAAATCTACCATGATGGTTAGTAAATGGCTACAATAGTTAATTATTCCTAGTTTTTACTCTAATGTCCCAGCCTGGTTTTGCCTGGCTGACACTTCCAGCCATAGTGTTGTGCTATTCTTCCCTATCCTAGAATGACTCTCTGTGAACAGCTTATCTGTTGTGGTTAATTCCCACCTACACCACGTTTTCATTAAGCAAACTAGACGGGGCTCCTTCCATCTGTGACTACCAGGTGGACAGTCGAATCCTTGACGCATTTGTGGGGCTCTTCTCAAAAAATACAATCGGTGTAATAACGCCTTGTAGAGCTTTTTGGTTTTGGCATTTCAGGGTCCACCAGCATTTGTCTGACAGTATCTCCCACGCTCAGATTTTGTGCTGCTATGAAATGTTCAATAAATAGCAAAGAAATGTCAATATTACATTACTGCTCTTTCTCATCCAAAGTATCAATAACAATGTTAAATCTCTGCCAAGGCTTCTCCAGACCTGAGGACGTAGAAGTGCGACTGGAAAGTCATACGGATTGATGCGCCCAACAGAGCAGACTTGTTCATTAATTAGAATGCCCGGCTTTCCCCCAATTCTTTTCAGCGATAGCTCTCAAATCCTTTTTGAAATAAGGACCAGAGCTGTCTGGGTGGATAGGCACTGGAATAAGCTGCCAAGGGAGGCTGTGGAATCTCCATCACCATTTAAGAGCAGGTTGGACAGACAGACACCTGTCACGGATGGTGTAGACGGTGCTTGGTCCTGCAGTGGACTGGATGTCCTCTCAAGGTGGCTTCTAGTCCTAGTGTTCTGTGATTCTTTCAATTCATGTTTCAAACTGAGACATGATAAACCAGAGCGAATGCCCCTGGTTTTGCAGGGGTGGGTGATGCCGCTCACTCAGCTGAGATAGGGAACCAAGATTTTTCCCTGGCAGAGAAATGATTCATTATCCCTTTATATTGGGATTTTAGAAGGAGACTGGAGGGGATAAAAACCCAACGCCCAGTGTCATTCATTCTTTGGTAGATTTTTGATTGACATGGCCTCGTTTGAAAACACCTCCTGACACTTCTCCTTCTTATTCCAAGGGATCCTAGTCTGATAAGACCTTTCACTTGGTCACTTCTTTCCATCTCCCAATCTCTATCCGCTCCTGGGCTATTTTGTTCTCCGACGGGTTACATAGTCCTCCCTGTTAGCCAGCACTTCAGTGCCATTGGGAAAGGCCCAGCAGTGCTCGGGAGTCCTTAAATGGGTATTGGCCAGTCTGGGTAAGGAATGGTGTCCCTAGCATCTGTTTGTCTCAGGGTGGAGATGCATGGCAGAAGAGAGATCGCTTGACCATTACCTCTGGAATTGGCTACTGTGGGCAGACAGGATACTGGGCTGGATGGACCCTTGGTCATCCCCAGTGAGGTGCCTATGACGGGTGAGCAGCTTTAGCTCCTGTATTGTCAGACAGGGAAACTGAGACATGGAGGGGTTGTGTGAATGTCACACAGCAAGTTAGTAACAGAGTCTGGGCAATCACCAACTCCTTATTTCCCATCTACTGGAGCAGGCCACAGCTGAGAGAGCCAACGCTACCACATTGGCCAGATCCTCACAGACATTCAGGTGCTCAGAGAGATGTCTCACTGCAGCTATGCGGATTGGGAGCGAGGATTTGTAGGTGCCTACATGCTTCTTAACTTCTCAGTGGAGACACATTTCCCTGGACACTCTAGTGGTGGAACACAGAAATTCCCCTGAAATTGATCAAGTGGTGTTTGGGGCTATGAAAAGAGCACATGTCTGAGTGATGTGACCTGCCCACTTGTAGGTTTCTGTCTCCTTGACTCAGCGTCCTGCAGCTGCAGGGAGAGCTGCGCCCCTGTGGCAGGGGCCGTTGTGCTCTCCTATGCCCTCCGGAGTTGAGAAAGGGAGAGATAAAGGCAGCATGCGCAGGAGGGAGGTGATCAAGTGGTGTTTGGGGCTATGAAAAGAGCACATGTCTGAGTGATGTGACCTGCCCACTTGTAGGTTTCTGTCTCCTTGACTCAGCGTCCTGCAGCTGCAGGGAGAGCTGCGCCCCTGTGGCAGGGGCCGTTGTGCTCTCCTATGCCCTCCGGAGTTGAGAAAGGGAGAGATAAAGGCAGCATGCGCAGGAGGGAGGGAAGACGTGACGCTTTCCTCCCGCCAGCTGGGATCATCCCGAACTTGGAGACTGTTCGTTAACGTGGAGATTTACCCGGCCTCCCTCGGGTCCTTCACTCCACTCGTTTGGGGCGGGGGGGTTGGAACATAGAATGGAAGTGTCCTTGGTTCATTTCAATCATTGCTCTTGGGCGGGGCGGAGGAGGAGGATGCAGGCTGCCTCAAGGATAGGACAACCCCAGCCCTCTCTCACTGCAGCAGCGTAGGACCAGGTGAGATGTCTCTCCATGGCTGCTGCAGCTTCAACGGGCACAGCCGGGGGAGGGGTGCATGTCCCCCAGCTGGGGCAGGTCCAGGTTTATCTGCCCCCTGCGTTCCTCAGCCAGAGTGAGGATGCAGCAAACGGGGCACTTTCCCTTCGCTCCCTGAAGCAGGGGAGCAGCCGGCAATGTTCCTAAAAGAATTGGAAGGAGGGATCTTCAGTCCCCCACGCAGGTCCTTAAAAGGCACTTGGTGGGGGAGAAGTGGGGCTGGCGCAGTCCCAG